TAAAATAGATAATGGATTATATATATTATATTTGGACTCCTAAAACAACCTATTATTATTGGATCTTTTTTTATTTTATGTATTTTAACAATTAAAAATACAATATTTAAAATTTTAATAATAATAAAAAATAAATAAATTATATATATATTTTTTCAAATCCCAAGGGGGTGGCCCCCCTGGTCTACACAGAAATAGCTTCACCCCTAGAAATGAGGGAGGGATGGAGAAAAAAAATATCAAAGAAAAAACAAGATAGATCTATTCATTTTTAGATGAAGCACTCCTAACATCTACCTAGAATTGTGTAACGTTCTCCATGGAAATCAAGCAGTTTAAGAACCTACTCACACCCATTGGTTAAGTTTCTCCTTTTTACTTTCCTAGTATATTCTTTACGTAATTTCTGGTTCAACCATTTCAATTTCACTTGATGAAATATCTTTAACATTAGAATGCAATGGGTCATTTAAGCTATCATTTTCTCAATGCTACTTCTTTTTGCACATCATTTTTCCATTCTATTCCCTCTAGTCCAATATTATTAGAGGCGCCCCAAAGTCACACTTACAGCATTGAAATTTCAAGTTTTATTATTTTTTATGAGTTTCAGCTGACAACTCTCAGAAAAGACCATTCCTTATTGATTAGACATAGGACATAAATCAATAAAATGAAGCTTAAGTTCTATGAATGACCAAAGAGCCAATTATAAGTTTACATTATAAGAAGATTTAGAAGAAGAAGAAGAAGAGCCAATTATAAGTTTACATTATAAGAAGATGAAGAAGAAGAAGAGCCAATTCTAAGTTTACATTATAAGAAGATGAAGATGAAGAAGAAGAAGAGAGCAAATTATAAGTTTACATTATAAGAAGAATTAGAAGAAGAAGAAGAAAAGCCAACTAAATGTTTACATTACAAGAAGATGAAGATGATGAAGAAGAAGAAGAATAAGTTTACATTATAAGAAGAAGAAGAAGAAGAAGAAGAAGAAGAAAAAGAAGAAGAGCCAATTATAAGTTTACATTATAAGAAGATTTATAAGAAGAAGAAGAAGAAGAGCCAATTATAAGTTCACATTATAAGAAAAAGAAGAAGATGAAGATGAAGATGAAGAAGAAGTAGAAGAAGAAGAAGAAGAAGAAGAAGAAGAAGAAGAATAAGAATAAGTTTACATTATAAGAAGATGAAGAAGAAGAAGAAGAAGAAGAAGAAGAAGAAGAAGAAGAAGAAGAAGAAGAAGAAAAAGAAGAAGAAGAAGAGCCAATTATAAGTTTACATTATTAGAAGATTTAGA